CATTGGATAGCGATTAGAAATGGCAATACCAGCTTTTTATTAATATCTTACCCTCCCCCACTTCTGGCTGGTGTGCTTAAGTTATTTGTAGCATTTTAACTGCTGCTTTGGCTGAGATCAATTAATCTGAGAACATCTGATCTGTGTGGCTGTGTCTTCTGGCTTTTTAGGAGTACATTTTGGGCTTTACTGTAAATATTTTGTTAAATTAACTCTTCAAAAGTGTTGGAGGAAATTTGCTGACAGGCTTCTTAAGGATTTTTTCCTGTTGATATCACAGGTAACTCTTAGAGTAACATTGATGTTTGAGACCTTATTAATCAGATCACCTTAGAATAAGAGTCGATCATTCAGCACTGCATGGTGGTTCGCTACTAAATTAGATTGTGGCTGATCTGTTTTTAGATGTTCATTTATCTATCTTCTGTTTAATATTCCTTGATGCAATTGCCCAACAAAAATCTGATGCCATCTGTTTGAAATTTGCAGTTGACCCAGACACCACATTATCTGGCTTTGAAACTTCTACTATGTTTTAACTTAAAAATGCTTGCTGATTTTATCCTAAATAGCCTAGCTCTAATTTTAAAATTATAGTTTCTTGTTCTGGATTTCTGATCACCAAAGTAAGCTCTGAGAAGGAAAAAAACAGTAAAACATGTGAATGACACATACTAGTCTGACTTATCTTGCATACTTCAAAATGAGAGCCAAGGATACTTTTTATACTTTCCTTGCCTTCTGTCTACCTATCAAATTATTTTAATCACCATGACTAGATGCCCTAAATCTTCTCAACTCAAAGGAATTCATAGTTTTACACTTGAATTTAAAATAACTCCTGCATCACTGCTGTAAGCTTAGCAGTTAACTGCCAGTCATCACTAACTGGTGCATTCACAGCAGCAGTACCACTACCAATCAGAGTCCACTTGAAGTTGATTGGCATTCTCCTCTCTTATAGTATAAATGTAATTTTCCCTTAGCATTACTTGCAAATTATCCTGATAAGTGCAAGATAAAAAGTTCTGACAAAAAAAAGTCTTGTTTTAAGTAAAAGGCTTGAAAATATTTCAAAGTAACTTGAACTAGATAGGAATGTTTACCTGTATTTAAACCAATTTCACAATTGAAATAATAATGTAGGAATAATAAGCTGCACAGGTCATCCAGTTGAGTTATGTGGTCTTTAAGAACCAACTGTTGGTCTTGCTGTTCCTCAGTACATACCTTCCATTTGTGTTTGTGATTTCATTAAAATATAAAAGACTGACAGAAGAGATGGTGGAAGACTGCTTCTCCTCACACTGGAGTGTAGAGCTAAGGATCATCATCTCAGAATAAGGTTTATCAATTTAGGATTTAGGATTGAGAAGAAAATTTTCTCTTATGATCTTTGGTATCTTTGAAATTTTCTGCCCCAGAAGGCTGTGGATTCTCAGTTATAGAGTCATACTGCATGGAAATAGCCCCTTCGGTCCAACCTGACCATCTTAAACTAGTCCTATCTGCCTGAGCTTGGCCCATATCCCTCCAAACCTTTCCTATTCATGAACTTATCCAAGTGTCTTTTAAGCATTGTAACTGTACCTGCATCCAGCACTTCCTCTGGCAATTCAGTCCACACAAAAAAACACTGTGTCTAAAAAGTTGGCCCTCGTGTCCTTTTAAGTCTTTCTCCTCTCACCTTTAAAAATATGCCCCCTAGTTTTAAATTTCCCCACCCTAGAGAAAAGACCTTTGTCATTCACCTTACCGATGCCCCTCATAATTTTATAAACCTCAATAAGGTCATTATTAACGATACTGAAGGAAGAGGAAACTTTAGATTATTGAATATGAATGAATCAACCAATATGGGGGAGTGCAGGAAGGTAGAGTGAAGGTCGAATGGAAGAGAAGGCTCGAAGGCCAAAGTAGCCTACTTTTCCTCTGTTTATGCTCTTTTTATATTGGTTACAAATTTGAACATGAGGCAATAAAAGAACTCAGTAATTTCCCTGCGTGTCACTCGTACATAACCTTTCAGAATTGTTGTGCATATTATCAGTTTTTAACCTTATAGTTACAAAACATTCCATTCCCGAGGGGATGGAATATGATGCAGTGCATCTTGATACGTCGTATCAGCTGATAGTACCTGATGGTGAAAATAACTCGCTTAATCAAAACCGACTGAACAGTCTACATGTTTGAAGTAGGACTGTGTAATCAATTACTATCATAGAGTGGAAGGCTGAATGACGAGGACTAAAGAGTAAAGTCTCTCTAGTGAAGTTGAAAATTAACCAGAGGAAATGTATACATTTTACTCTTCCCATTTCAGAATACAATACACATTTGTCAATGGAAGCTAACTGGAAGTGTTATAAGTTTGTAATTAAAGAATCTCAAGTGATATCACAACTCACAAGAGTAGGCTCAATTATGTTGCCATTGTTACTGCACCCTTCAGATTACATTACAGCCCTCAAATTAATGCCATATGAGGTTTTTAAACCTGGTTATGTCACTTCAAACGAACCATATTTCAATGCATTTTTTTTCCGGAGGAACAGTTATACATTTGATAATCGCTGGATGGAATTTTCTTCAATATTGTTTTGCTTAAACAAGTCAAATATGCACAGCAAAATGAGCCAATCAAGGTCTCCTAACAAAACGCAAATTAAAACAAAACTGGAGCTGAATTTTACCAACAATTGACTGAGTGTCAAATTTGGGAGTTTCATGGAAGTGTTCTCTGCAGCCAGCAAAACCTACTGCCTGGGCTGCAGCAGTGACTCCATCATGGGGAAACCAGATGAAACAGTATGATCTGTCTTTATATATTTGTGGGTTGAGGATTGCGAGATCCCACACAAGTCCGCAGTATCTCTGGCAGATGACACAGTTCTGTGATGGTCTCCCTGGACATCCCAATCTGCAGTGACTGCTGTGACTTGCTGATCTGGAGGTAATAGCATCAACATTGATCAACTCTGGGCCCCCTGTACCAGAGCCACTTTATCCTTCAGCTATAACTTAGCGATGTGGAGGCTGTTGGGTAGCTTCTGGATGTTGCTGCTAGCTCTGGGCTTGCTGGCGTAGTTGTTCATTGCGCCATTCAAAACCTGGTTGCAGAATCAGACTTTTTTTTTCTTAATGTAAAGAATCACATTTTACCAAACTGACCATATTTTTTCCAACTGACTTGCCATTGCCCAGGTTGTACAGGGGTGAGAACATTCAGCCCATAAATTCATACTGAATCAGCTACCTTTGACTCTTAGCTGAATTGCTTTTATAATAAAGACAGGGAAAGGATGCACGTTTTGGAAAGTTATTCTTCTTCGCCTGAGTTTAAAGCACGACATGAGTGACATGCATCTCTTATTCCGATATGGTCAAATTATACTTAAACTGACCATCTCACATCTCGTTTGAATGTAAGTTTGTAAATAAGTGGAATGTGCTGTTCATTGACTTTGTAAGAACCAAGTCCGAACCGTTTGCTTTGTCCAGGTTTGATTTTGTTTTGGATGATTGGTGTGAAAACCTGATTTATAAAAATATTAGCAGCTTTGGATCCTGGGTAAAGAATAACATGTGGGCAATTTATAAGGCACTGCAGCTTAAGTATCTTTGAAACTTACTGAAATTAACATCAATATAATTTAGTGATGATAACCAAGCCTGTCAGTCTTGAGTATTAAAACTCCTCCATTGCTTGTGCACAGAAATCTGAAAGCCTGACTGTTAGCTGCTGCTCAGTCAGCTAAGAGTGTAAGTTGTTAAGCAAGGTGTTTCTCCATAGGCAGACTATTCAGCGGCTTGAATAGAAGGTTTGATCAGAATATGAATGCAACTGCATTGACGTCAGAAGGCCTCAGAGTGCTGATATCAAGGAGAAGGTAATTGAGGACGAGGCTTTGAGAGATGCTGAAGCAACTGAGAGCTAGTAAAAGCAGGTGCATTGTGTAAGGTAACTGTTGTGACCAAAGGATATATGCCAGGATTTTCCAGTTTCTTTACTAAAAATGACTCAGCTGATGAACACTTGTTAGTTAGACTATGGTGCCTTTTTGAAGTTCAAAGGTGAAACTGTCATGCTTAAAAATGTAAGCAGCTTTTCACTAACATCTCCACTAAGATGGAAAGAGAAGTGTTTACTGATCCTGCAGACATTGTAAGACTGATACAGATGGTCCCGAGAGGGGTGACAGAAGAGATGCACGTTGTTGGAATGTTATAAAATCAGCTGCATTGTGCTGTGTTGATCTCTACCTAATTGAGGATGCTACAACATGCTGACAAATATGGGACTGCAATCAGAAAATGATTCTTCTAGAAGGACTGTTTGCATGCACTGAAATCCCAAAGCATCTGCAGAAATTTGCTTCACGGGTCTGAGGAGCAGAAACAGGAATTTTCTGTGGGTTTTGATTCAGATACGGAGATGTTCATTGTGGGGTACTTTATGGAGGTTTTTGCAAGTAATTTCCTGGGAATTTGTCTACTGGACCCGTGTCTACTACAGCTTAGGGAATGGAGATTAAAAAATACAAGGTACATGTCCATTCAACTGGGAGAAATTAACCTCCATGAATCACATGCAGCTTTCCTCCATTTGCAGCTTGATGCATTTTTAAATAATGTCTGTTAAATTAGCATATTTATGTATATTTCTAAAAGTGTGGCATTTTTGTCCAATTAAAATTAATGCACAGCAGAGGTGTTTGTCTTCTAGATTGCTACTTATTGATTAGTGTAAATATACTCCAGGGACTTGGCACATAATTATGTGAATATGAATCTTCCAATGTAAAATTATCATGTGCAAGGATAAAAGATGCAGTCTGTGACTAGTCATGAGAATCAATAAATATCTTGTCCGTGAGTTCTGTTCAGCCGCACCGGCGCAGGTAACATTGTGCTTGGTTTAGTCCAACAATTCATCAACTGGAACAAATGCAGCTTTACTTTAGCTTATCGTCACCACCTTTTTGTTTTGATTTTAGGAGCCCAGTAACAAACGGGTGAAACCACTTTCCCGAGTCACATCTTTAGCAAATCTCATTCCTCCTGTGAAAGCCACACCTCTGAAACGATTCAGCCAGACATTACAGGTAAGATAGCCAATTAGGTTTATTATCTATGCAGCGTGATGAGTGAGATATTATAAAGCTGCACACCAAGTTCAGTTGTTTTGCACTTACCACATCTGAATGCACTAATCTAGCAAAGAATGACATTCGTTTTCATTCCAAACCAACTGTTTTCGGATCTGGTTTAGAATATATATCCAACTTTTCATTTATCAGCTATATATGGGACAGGATTTGCATGTATTTGGAAAGGCAAGGACTGAGTAGGGATAGTTAATATGGCTTTGTGTGTGGGAAATTATGTCTCAATAATTTGAGTTTTTTGCAGAGGTGACAAAGAAAGCAGAGCGATCGACATTGTCAATATGGACTTCAACAGAACATTTGACAAGGTTCTGCGTGGTAGACTGGTTAGTAGGGTTAGGTCACATGGAATCCGGAGGAACTAGCCAACTGGACACAAAGTGGCTTGAAGGTGGGAGACAGAGGACGGTGGTAGGGGGTTGCTTTTCATGCCTCCAGACTGAATGTGAATATAGGAGGTATGGTTAGTAAGTTTGCAGATGACACCAAAATAGATGACACCACATGACAGTGAAGAAGATTATCTCGGAGTACAACGTGACTTTGATCAGATGAGCCAATAGGCCGAGAATGGTGGATGGAGTTTAATTAAGATGAATGTGAGGTTTTGCATTTTGGTAAGGCAAACCAAGGCAGGACATATACAATTAATGGTAGGGCCCTGGGCAGTATTGCTGAACAAGGAAATCTAGGAGTGCAGCAGCATAGTTCCCTGAAAGTGGAGTCACAGGTAGATAGCATAGTGAAGGAGGTGTTTGGTATGCTTGCCTTCATTGGTCAGTGCATTGAGTATGGAAGTTGGGAGGTCATGTTGCAGCTGTACAGGACATTGGTTAGGCCACTTTTAGAATACTGTGTATATTTCTGGTTGCCCTTCTGTAGGAAGGATGTTGTTAAACTTGAGTGGGTGCAGAAAAGATTTACAAGAATGTTGCTGGCACTGAAGGTCTGAGTTATAGGGAGAGGCTGAACAGGCTGGGGCTTTTTTCCCTGGAGCATCAGAGGCTGAGGGGTGACCTTATAGAAGTTTATAGAATCATGAGGGGCATGGATAGGGTGAATAACCAAGGTCTTTTATCTGGGGTGGGGGAGTACAAAACTAGAGGCATAAGTTTAAGATGAGAGGGGAAAGATTTAAAAAGGGCCTGAGGAGTTACTTTTTCCACTCAGAGTGGTGTGTATATGGAACAAGCTGCCAGAGGAAGTAGTGGAGATAGGTACAATTACAACAATTAAAAGACATCTGGATGGGTATATGAATAGGAAGAGTTTAGTGGGATATCGACTAAATGCTGCCAAATGGTCAGTTTGGGATATCTGGTCTGCATGGTTGAGTTGGATCGAAGGGTCTGTTTCCATGCTCTATGACCCGATGATTCTGTACCTTTTTAGAAAATATGCCCGATCCCAGTTGATTAGGTAAAAATAGAAATGAATAATTTTGAGTTGACACTCAAAGGAGCAAATTCCAGTGTCATTCTAAAGAATGTTTTAATGTTAGAATGTAAAAAGTATTTATTTTGGGTTCTCCCTTTTAAAGTAACTGAGGTCATTTAAGGCAATAAAACCAAAAGAACTGCAGATGCTGGAATTATGAAACAATAACAGAAATTGATGGAAATCTGAGCAGGTCTGGCAGCATCTGTGGAGAGAAATCAGAGTTAATGGTTTGCGACCAGTGACCCTTTAGGACTGATGGTAACTAGGAAAAGGTGTCTTTTATACAGATGATGGGGTGGGGGGAATTGGGAGAGTAAATGATAGGTAGAGATAGAGCCCAAAGAGGTGGAAAAGCAGTTGGACAAAGGAGTAGACAAGGGAAGGAACCAAGACCATTTGCTGAATATGTGGGACGTTGAGGGGATCATTAAAATTGGTGGCACTGTGAGGAGGGGGACAAAATGTGCGGGGTTACCTTTAGTGACTTCTGCCCTGCTAAATATACACAAGTGAGGACTTGAACTGAGGAGAAAATGAATCTGAGCTGTGACCTCCTCCCCCATACCACCATTTACTAACTTACTCTTGAACACTTGTTGTGTAGACTCTCAATTTAGTGAGGATTTCTGATTGCTGTGGAGTTGCTTGGCACTATCGGTAACAGGAAAAGAGGTTGGGTGGGGAGGAAACAGTAAGAAACCAATGTTGGAACTTTAATTTATGAAAACATTGGGCATTGTATTGTAACAAAATGTGGATGTGAAATGTCAGCAGCAAATACTGGAAGTGGTCAGCAGTTGAAGTAATATCAGCTGAGACAAAATATCTGAATGTTTCATTTCACTGCATTTTGGCAGAAGCATTGTGGTTGTTTTCAGGTTACAATTAGATTGGGTGGTCTGTTGCTCAGAAACGGACATCATGTTGAGTGTAGACATTTACAAAATGCTGAACTACATTACACTATTGTTAATATATGTTTGAATTTTGTATTATACAAAAGGAAAGCCAGTAATTAAGATATCTTTGCTTTGCAAATCTTAAAGCTAGTCTTCCAATCATTACACAGTTAACAAATAAAACTTGAAAATGCAAATGATAATACCAATCCCTGGCTCCCTTTCTTTAACAATGGTGCTAGGTCATTCACTTCCTTCCCAGATCTGTCTTACACTTGTTGGAAATTTAATTTAAAATGCTTTCAAACCATAGAAATAGAAATTTTCATAGTATATTAACTGTGAAGGAACTTCACATGATGCAATTAGATGAGATTGCGAGTTGTTAGTGTTAGCGTATTGGCATTGTTCACCGTACAGCAGGATCATTGACTTTCATGGAATTGTAACCTAGTTTGAGTCAGCAATTTCAAATGAGCAAGAAAAGGTAGCTGCAACGCATAGACCACATTAACCCTTGCTGGTTTGTCTCCAGGTGCAGAAGTGCAGCCAGGAAGTGATAAAGAATCTGTCCCATTGGTTGGAAGCAGAATAAGGGTCTGTTGTGTTTCTTTCTCTGCTGTGCTGCACATGTAGTAACAGTAATAGGCCTTGCCTGGAGAGGTGGGGGAAGGGAGGTTACTAATTTACTTCGGTCAGCGTTTGATCCAGAAGGTAGGGAAATAGCGTGACTGCACTGAGATTCTTGCATTCCCTGGGGGTGATAAATCTCTTCCCAGAATTTATGTGTGAAAAGTTTCTGATGTTTCTGAAAAAGAGCTGCATTAGTTCCAGTGTGCTGAGCGTGAAAGCAAATTATGCTTTGGCTAGACTTAAGCTGTGCCTGGCACTCTGTCTACTGCTACAAGTATATTTGTACAGCTGCTGTGAGACTTTATTACTTGCAGCACTTAACCTGCAGGAACTTAAATATAAAGACTGTTTTCAATTGCAAATATTTCTGATTTCCCTTAGAGGGTCAAACTCAGAAGTAATAGGAATAAACTACACTATTATTCACCAATTTTGTGGAAAAATAAAGCTAAAAGGCCATGGAAATTGTAGACTGGTTTTCAATTTCAGATCCTGCTTACTGTAATAAAAAGTGGAAGTGATGGCAGTTGCTGAGTCTGTATTTCCTCTTGTCAATAAATTGCAATAAAATACAGTGAGAGAGAATCAGTTTGTATCTTGGTATGTACTCGCACCAAGTTTCAAAAGTATGTATTGTGCAGTTTAGCTCCTGTCTTTAATAGCTTGCATATGACAGGGTAGCAGGAGGCTGACTAATACTAAGAAGTCTTTCCAAGTTTCCACTGATTACAGTTTAACTTCAAGCCTTTATTGTTGATGTCTGGTAAACATAAAACTGTGGCTAACTAAACTTCCTTTCAAATAATCTTGAGGCAGTTTGATGGAGGTGAATGTGCTTGTCAATGGATTTAAGATGCTGTTCCTCACACAATAACTACGACACATATTGCTAGTCACATGCAAGGCATAACCCTAAAATGAGTAAAATTAAGCTACAGTGCTGTCAACTAGTGCTGCTCTTTTAGCACCTTCTAGTGGGTTGGTCATTAAGGTCAATGAGAGAAGCACAGAAGTAAAGCTGACTGGAACCTTGTTCCATATGGCGTTTTGCAGGGAATGGAATGGAGGGTAAAAGGTGTTCTGTTAGTAGATGTTAACAAAATTTTATTTAAAAATCTGAATGTAATTATTTTGAAAATCATAATAGGAGATGAAAATAAAGTATTTTTGACCCTTTGTAATCTGTTGATGAATGTACAATTTATTCACAAGAAAATTATTGGAATTTTTTTTGTTTGTTCTCAAACACTTAAATTTAATCTCATTGAAGCACATCATTGAGTCACTGTTATGTAACGTTATTGTGAGCTTTATGAAGACTTTTTAAGATATGCAAAATGTCCTGCTAAGTTTTGATTTAACATTGTTCATTCAGCACCATTCATTCACAGTCTTCTCATAGCGCCTGAGACTGCATTTACAGCACAGCCTCTCACCAATTTTTAGAGTGCAGGGAGGCTTCTTGCATTCGTTGGCCCAAAGGGAGTCAGCTTCTAACTCTGAATTTATATTGTCGCTTCTTAGAAATAAGATGAAAGAAAAGTTGAGTTGCAGTTTCAGTATAAATGCAACTTAAGTATTTGTGGTGTCAAATATACATAGCATCTTACAAAGTCAAGGTTTAACATGAATGCAAGACAACCATAGCCAAAGGCTTTAATTTTACATGCAGCCAAGGTTCTACATTACTTGAGTATCAGCATTTGCTTTGTATTGTATTGAAAAGCAGTCTTACCACATTTTTACGTATTAAACAACTAGGGCTAAACAAAACCTGTCTTAACATTTCTAACCGACTGCCAGAATCACCATCCGTACCGCAGGGCCAGTCATTATTGCAATACATTGTAAAGTAAGTCTGTTTCATGTGCTTGCCAATTTTATGAATAAAGGTACACTTTAAATTGAAACTGTCAAATTGCAAATCTTCTGGAGGGTTGCATTTTGTAAAATAGTTTTCCTTTACGTGACATTTCCATCAAATCATTCAATTACACTCATCCCACTTTAGTTGTTAATATTTCAGTGTTTTAGTGGTACCAGTCTGTAGCCAATTCTTTTCTCCCTCTTTGTTTCAGCGTTCCATTAGCTTTCGAAGTGATAGCCGACCTGAAATTTTCACCCCAAGACCCTCTTCTAGACATGGGCCCCCCGCTATTGCAAAGCGTCGAGATAGTAAACTCTGGAGTGAAACATTTGACATTCGTGTCAATCAAATGCTCACAGCTAAGGAAATCAAAAGACAAGAGGTGAAAGTGAAAACCGCCTTTATTCTTTCACAGATAAAATAATGGACTAGTTTTAATCAATGACAAGTTTCTTTTCTAGTTGTGACTAAACCTGGCTTGGAAATGTGGTTTTCTTACTCAGACCATTCACAAGTTTGTCTTTGTAGATTAAGAATGAGTGTGTATGCAACTTGAACTGCAGCTTTTTCTTGTTGCAGAGATAAACTGAAAAGATAATCTTAAATTGTTCTCCTGACAGTTAAGAAATCTGACATTTGTTTTGCTTAACTGCTCAGTTGCAAATGTGATACTTTGTTTGGTGATAAAGTTGACATTTAAAATAACTGTAAATTCTATTGCAAAATCTGATGCATGTAATTGGTTTGAAAATTGCAAGATTCAAGTCTTTTGTTATCATGAGTAGCAACAATTCCCTAATAACAGTATTATGACTGTTTCAGGAACTATTATGTATAATTTAAATAACAACCTTTGTGCATAGTTGGAATATGGCTGTCTTTATAGCAACCTGCCAACCTTTGAGTAAAAGGAACACTCCAACTTATAATATTGCTGTCATATTCTTTTGCGCGTGA